ATAGAATGTTACTACATTCTATTGTTGATGGCGCTATTACTCAAATAGGATCACTCTATCTCATAATTAATTATAAATTAACTAATAGCAAAAGACAGAAAAATTACGGATTCTACTGGAGGATTTAAGGAGCAATTTATTGACATATTATAAAGTACATATTTTATGTTTTATACCAACAATAATTTTTTTTTAAGAATTAATTATAAATTAACTAATAGCAATAGAGGTGGAGCAATTTCGAATTCTACTGGAGCATTTAAGGACCAATTAATTGACATACTGTTTAATTGTAAAAAGTAGATATTTTATATTTTATAGCAAAATTAAATTTTGGATACATAATTTTTTTTTTAAATGAATTATAAATTAACTAATAACAACAGAGTTCGAGCAATTACGGATTCTGCTGGAGCATTTAAGAAGCAGTTAATTGACATACTGTTTAATTTTAAAAAGTAAATATTTTATATTTTATAGCAAAATGAAATTTTCGATACTTAAATTTTTTAAAAATTAATTATAAATTAATTAATAACAATAGAGGTGGAGCAATTTCGGATTCTGCTGGAGCATTTACGGAGCAATTAATTGACATACAGTTTAATTTTAAAAAGTAGATATTTTATAGCAAAATTAAATTTTGGATACCTAAATTTTTAAAAGAATTAATTATAAATTAACTAATTACAACAGAGCAATTTCGGATTCTGCTGGAGCATTTAAGGAGCAATTAATGGGCATACAGTTTAATTTTAAAAAGTAGATATTTTATATTTTATAGCAAAATTAAATTTTCGATACTTACTGCTTTAAAAAAAATATTTTAAAAAAATATTTTTTAAAAATTAATTATTAATTAACTAATAACAATAGAGGTGGAGCAATTTCGGAATCTGCTGGAGCATTCATGGAGCAATTAATTGGCATACAGTATAGCTAAAAAAAAGAATGTTCTACGCTAACTTCCATCTCGTTAATCTTCCTGCTACAGATATTTTGTTCCACTTCCGTGTTACAATAGCATTTAGCTCATCAGCCACTCTACGATGCGTGGCACGGGTCTTTGAGGTAAATCATAATCTACAATCCATCGGATTCAGATCAGGCTTCAAGTAGGGTGCCCATTCTTTTGAGGTTATGAAATCATTGTTGAACAGCCAAGCCAAGCAAAGCCAAGGTTCAAGCAGAACTTTTTTGCGAAGTCCCTGTGAGCTGGAGCAGGGAGGGGTATTGTTATACCTGTTACGGACGGACCAAAGTGCTCTTAACTCCAAGTAACAACCACAGTTTCAAGGATATCTCCTGAGTCATTTTCTTTGCTAATTTCGATACCATTTTTTTTATAAAGACTAGGGGAATTTTGCCAGTTTAGGCGGTGTGTATCAACTACGGCAGCTCCAGGAGGAAGGAACACCAGATTTTTTTTTGTGATTATTGACTTGTACTATCGTTTATTATTTTTCATTTGATGTTTATGCTAACCACAAGTTTCATGACGAACTGCTTGTTTTTGTCCGTAAGCAATGCGATTGTTATGTGCAAATACTCAAACTCTACTCAATGAGTAGAGAGACTAACGAAACTGGAATTTTGATATAGGAAAATACATGTCTTTATCTTGAATATGCTTGTTCAAAAACACGATTGTAAAATTTTGACTCTATCATAATTATTTGCGAAATCACCTCTAAAAAATCACTCTAGTTGAAATTACAACGAAATTACTTAATCTGTATGCTTGGGAACCACTGAAATAAATTCATAACATCAATATTCGTAATTTTCTTGCTCATTATTTTGATAACTAAAATCAATAACTTTTTAAAAATATTTTAAAATTCTAAGCGATTTCTAAGTGGTCTTAATCGTCGCGGGCGCTACGCAATTTTAAACCTTATGACGGCGTATTTGAAGTTTTTATAGAAATTATGTTTCACTCGGGTCAGTCCGGCGATAGCCCACTTCAACGGTTTTCGACGTGTCGCCTTAACTTGGTCCGAGTATCTCGCAGCTCTTTCGACTCTATCTACCACCTTGGCGATAACAGGCGTGACGCTATATATGTGTTGGGGCCACATTGTATATGGGCACAGTAAAAGAGAGAAAAGACGACATATATATGAAGGAAAGAGATAGATTATATTACGATACAGTAAGTTCATCGGTAAAGAGCAACCCCGAAAGGGGGTGAAACTAGACGTAGCGTGTTTTTGGCATACAATATAGATTTTGTTTTATTTGAAAGGCAATATGGTAGAGAATAATGTTAAATCATAAAATTTCCTGGTATTCATTTTTAATTATTTTTTTTAAATTTTTTATTTTTTTTTAAATTATTTTTTAATTTTCCTGGGACATAATTCTGAGAAAATTAGAGATCATTGAAAAAAAACAGTAATAAAAATGGATTTGTTTTTCACAAAAAGCACAGTTAAAGTCATGATGCCACTTTTTTGCGAGCTAATTGTTACTTTATCCGTACCGCCAAGTACGTGGCATAATATTTATTTTTATTGTAAAGTATAACGTTTTTTTGTACATAGAGTCTACATTAAGATATAAAAATCTTAATTCGCCAATAAAAGTAAAATATATATTATTTCTTTTCTTTTTTTTTTATTGATATTTTATGGTCTAGTTTCACCCCCTTTCGCGGTTACAGATTACCGAGGAACACACTATGTACGAAAGACTGCTGAATTAATAATAGCAGAAGGATATAATTGCGCTATTATTTCTTATTAGTTGTGAATATAACGTACAGATTCTGAGAGTCATCTTTAAAAAAGACTTCTTCATAGCTCGCTGGAACTTGATACAACCAGCACCGAGATTAATCTCAGCCTTGATTCTGAACGCATCCTAAAGAGGATCAATTAATGTAATAGTTCTTTCCTTTGGTATATTGTTATCTCATGAACAATAACTAAGAGGAGCAAAAACAAATGAGAAGTGGGCCAAGGTTTAGTTAGTTATTATTAGTTAATGTTGTTAGTTGTAACTAAGATATTTTAGTTTATAAATTACTTACTAACCCATATGGATCATGGTCCAAAATAAATGATCATTATTATTATTTTTTTATAGAATTAGGGTGACAAACGAGCACACAGTCCACCTGATGGTAAGTGGTTGCTGTGGCCCATAGACATCTGCATCGATCCTCGTTTGTGAATTAAAATGCCGATGCGTTGTCAGCCTTGAGGACTAAGATAGAATGCCTCTTTTCCAGTAAAATGGGTCTCCGGTTCTCTACACTCACCATACGAAACACAACAGCATTGAGCTGCTATTTTACGCTGGTATTCTGTGAGAGCGTGGTCCTTCCACAGTCGAGCCGACCCATTCGTGCTACAACTATACTATTAATATAGCTGCAGCATGGCTCTACCACGCTTAAAAATAAAAAATATTATTAAAATTAAGTGAATATAGCCAAAACGAACTGGATCTACAGTAGCTATATTCTATTGGTGTTTTGTACGATTTAGCCACATTGCAACGTGATATGGTTGCAGCATGAAGGGTCGGCTCGATCGAAGTAGGTCGGACCTCGCTCTTACAAATAGTCAGCGTGAAAAACCAGCTTAATGCTGCTGTGTTTCCTATGGTAAGTGGCGAGAACCGGAGGCTTTTTTACTGACAACGAGGCAGTCTATCTGCATTTTATACTTAACTAGCTGACCCGGCGAACTTCGTACCGTCTAACAGTCGAGTTTTAAAATTTTTTTAAAACTTATTCTGCTATTCAGGACACCGGGTCATATAGTAAGATAAAAAAAGAAAAAAGAAAGTTCATAAGTCAACAATTACATTATGTCAAAAAATAAAAATTATAAAACACTATTGACAAATATTGACATTAATATTTATACGATACTAACGTCACTCAATTTTTTTGCCTTCCCGGAACCCCACCACTAAGACTTAAACTTTATGTTATGGTATTAAAATTCAAATTGACTTATAAGTATTATTACGAATCTTTTGTATGGGAATATAGAAAAGTGTTGTTTTTAGACTTTTTCAGGCAAATTTAAATTTTTCTCTCCGTAAGAATCATCTTCGTATTTCAAGGAATATTATAAAAAAAGAATTAGCGAAATCGGTTCAGCTGCTCTCGAGATTTGCGCTTAGCAACACATTTAGTGATTCATTTTTATATTATAGATTGAGGATAGATGTAGGTGCATTTGGAGCCACTGTATTCACTTTTATATAAACTAAAGTGAAAAACAAACATATAGTCCACCTGATGGTTTTTAGTTAGTGATTACAGCCAAATGCCTCACAGCTGGCATTGATACTAGGCCTCTATACCTTTCAGACCTAAATATAGCAGTACACGCACTGCTTCTTGGTAGTAGCAGTAGGTCAAAAGGTGACACCTACCCATACGAACTTCTAGGCAAATAATAAGTCCAACCGCTTGAAACTTACCGTCAGGTGGACTGTTTTTGAAGTTATAGTAAATGCGCGCGCACACCGACAGATAAAAACGACACCATGAAGTTGTTACGATGCGCGCGCACACTGACACCTCAAAGCGACAACTTCATTGGGTAACTATTTATAAAGTTTTTGTGGGAACTGATAACTATATTTAAGGTTACGCTAAAGAAATATAATTTCCTACGTGCGTACATAAGTACTTACACACACAGGTTTTTTTTTATGGAATAGGTGACAAACGAGAACACAGTCCACCTGATGGTGAGCGGATGCTGGATAACTACATTTATCCTCGATTAAGAATCAAATTGCAGATGCGTTGTCACCCGAGCACTAAGATGGAATGCCTCGTATCCAGTAAAAAGGGTATTCGGTTCTCTACACTTACCATACGAAACACAGCAGTGTTATCTACTATTTTACGTTGGTTTTCTGTGAGAGAGTGCTAGTTTGTCACCCTTATTTCTGTTGAAAATGTTCCGGTAGCAACCAAGAGATGGCGTTAAAACTAAAATCAATTGGAAACGTTAATAATATGTTCGCAGATCCAAAACAGCCTTGCTCAAGGCATGTTCCTGGCTGGTGGTCGCGGGGGCTACGTTGGTGCCGCACTGCAGGGCCCCCTCGCTTACTTGGAAAAGACTGCCACCAATATAGGTATAACAAACAGTATAGTAAGCTCTATTGTGGCAAGACAGAATGTGTCAAAAGAGGACGTATGGCAATTCTCAATGCTGTGTTCCCTACCGTGAAAGTAGGGCGTGGCAAAGGAAGTACGAGAGTAGAATAAATGCAGAAGAAATGCGGTCATTAAGGAGTATGTTAGGGCTGAATCGGAATTACAGGACGAGAAATTGTGTGATAAGTAAAAAGGTTTGCAAAATTTTGTGACCAGGATTAAGAAAGGAATGCTTTGGTGGTTTGGTCATGTAGAAAGAGTTAATTAGGAAAGAGTGACAAAGCAAATTTATGCTGAAGAAGTGAGTACACAGCCAAGTATGATTTTTTTTATAGGATAAGGTTGACAAATGAGCACACATTCCACCTGATGGTAAGAGGTTGATGCGGCCCATCGATATCTACATCTATTCTCGATTACAGATGCGTTGTCACCCGTGTGGACTAAGATGTAATGCCTCGTTTCCCGTAAAAAGGGTCTCCAGTTCTCTACACTCGTCATACGAAACAACATACAAACGCCAACTACATTGAGCTGCTATTTTACGCTGGTATTTTGTGAGAGCGTGGTCCCACCCCGGTCGAGTCGACTCATTCGTACTACAACCATAATGTAGCTGCAGCATTTTTTACCACGTAAAATAAATATATCTATATTTCAGATCACAGTGCTCTTCTTTTACATATTAACAGACTAACATATGTAAGTATAATTTAAATAGAAGGTATACCGGATAAAAGGAAAATTTTTAAAGTGTGTTTTATAGTACGTACTATGTATGTCTTTGTGTATAATATGTTGAATGTCTGAGTGTGTGAAGAGGGTGTGTATGTAAATATTAACATGTAGTAAGTAATGCTTCAGTTTCTTCATGGTTTAACAGATGAAGAAGTTCAAATAAGTTGATTTTGCAGTGTCAAAGGTGCGACTGCGGAACGTTTATTTCCTTCTCGAATGAAAGGTGATAATTTTTATAAACATTACTAGTTGGTACCCGGTGCGTTGCTGCCGCAGAAGAAATAATTGTGGAAATATCGTTTTAAATTTGGAACAGTTATATTGTATAATTAGGAATGATTAATACATTCATTCAAATTGAATGTAATATATGACTTTCAAATAAATTTGTCGGTACGATACGCGCGCCACATAATGTAATTATTTAATTCGTGACGTCACGAGCATGTCGAGGTCATCGGTGACGCGAACCCATAACTTATTCCCCTTACAAAAATCGTTCACGCGGCTAAATAACTTTTCACTTTATAAAATCGGTGTATGGCTGTGTCGTATATACGGCCATGCGTTTTACATGAGTAGGTAGTACGAGACGAAACGACTTGCGCGATGCCTCAGTCATCACTCAACGTAACATATTATTTGATCCTTTAACTATCGAGTGTTTGTTGGAATTTTGGATTGGATGTCGAAGATAGATACGTAGCTGCAACACCAACCTTTATCCGCCGATTTTGTTATCATCAGTTTGCTGAATGAGGACTAATAATTTTCTGCTCACCAGATGTCGCTACTTGACACTGAGGTAAAGTTTTTTGTTACACAATGTCATTTAATTGAGAAGTTAGTTTTTAATAAAAGTTTATCAGCTTCAAAAGTATTATATTAATACACAAAACAATGCCTCAGTGGTTTGCTCTTAAATTTTTTGCACATTTGAACTTTTTTTTTATATTTATTACTTTTATGAATATCTGTGGTTTGTTTTATTTATTTTTAATTTTATTATTATAAAATATAGCTTTTCTTTCTTTTCTACTTTTATGAATAGTTATGTTTAGTTTGCTTTATCCATTTCTAATCTAATTAATATAAGAGATAACTAATAGTCCATAAAGAAAAGTTAATATCATCACTTTTCTAAAAAATTAACTTCCGCCGCTATGAAATCTGTCAAATATTACACCACATTCCGATATGGCGCTGTGCCGCCTTGGTGACAGGAAAAGTTATATATACAATTTAAGTCGGAGTGTCGTACCACGGAAAGTCCGTTGCGACGTAGTAAGGAGAAAAGATGCAAAGTAATATGGACACTCGCGCGCAGCGATAAAGTTTTATTTAGCTTTTTATACTATATATAGGCTATTAAAACGTCGGCAAGCAGTTAACATCAAAAGAGTGGAACTTCTGTACGTAGTAGGTACTATTATTTATTCTGTGGTGTTGTCAAGATGAGTGAATAGGCTTTCTCTGTGTTAGAGCGTTTTAAAACCTAAAGCATGCATTTAACTTATCACTTGCTTACAATTTATGTAACAATATATAAAAGTAACATATCAGGATTGCATGTTTTAAGTCTGAACGCAGCAATACCCGCTACTCCGTATCATCCCGTGAGTCTCGTAAGAAGCGACAGAGCGAAACAAATCAGGAGATGGGCAGCAAAGTCTTCCTAATAACGATTGCAAATCAAAAACAGCGGTTACCAACCAGCCTGCCAAGCGTGGGAACTGTGGAAAATATCCCCCCTATGAGGCAGTCTATGGGGGAGGTTTATGTTCAGGAGTGGGCTTTAATAGGCTATAATGAGTGGATGTATAGAAGATAATCTACCAGGAGCACATGACCCACTGAGAGGTGAAATTTTCAAATCAACACAGTAACATTACAACTATGGCAAATATCCTATGAGCCAATCTATGAGGGAGGCCTATGTTCAGCAGTGGATTTTTATAGGCTTTAATAGATTTATAGGAAGAGTGAGTATAAACATTGGGAGATTGTGGATAGATTCTGAGAAATTACATAATAAACGGGTATTACACTACACTGAACCAGGGCTCTGAATTAAGGGTGGGCGTGGCCCCTGACGTCTGTTATTACACTGCACTCAATCATAAAGCGAATTTTAACGCTATCGACACCGATAAAAGTGCTGATAGCGTGAAAATACGAAGTGAAAATGATTTGTTATTGTGTTCTTAAGGTTTAAAAACGTTACAGGATCCTATGGAAATAAAGGTGATACAAAATATCCAGTTTTGAGGTGAATGCAGAAAATCAAAACAGAATGGAAAAATAAATTTAAAATAGTGTAAAATGATATGTAAGTAGCATAACACTACACACCATACGAAGGACAGCATCATTAAGTTGCTATTTCTGGTATTATATGAGAGCGTGGTTATTCCGCAGTCGAGCCATTCGTGCTACAACAATAATATAGCTGCAGCGTGGCTTTACCACGTGAGACATTGAGAAACTTTACTATTTATTTTATATATTTCAGACATGGTTGGTCTGGGCGATGGGCGCAGGTGACGCGGCCGCGGGAGGGGCAGGGGCCGTGGCAGGGGCAGAGGCCGAGGTGATGTAATCATTTATTTATTCATCACCACCAATATTATCCCTATCATTATCCTTCCCAGTCAGTTCCTCATTGTGTAAGACTTGCGAGTCTGATTATATTTAAAAGTACCCTCACATCGGGAATTTCTTTTGTATCACATTTACGTTTTCCATACATAAATTGCACATTGACAAATATCTTCGGAACAAGGAAATATACCCGGAACTATTATTTGAAGGCTAAATCAAACCAACACTAAGGTACTTTTATACATAGTTTGTTATGTAAGTTAGTTATAATACATAGTATATTTAAATAGATTAGCGACACTATCGTAGTGGGTTAGCTTAGCCTGTAAGGATAGTTGTGTGTGTTGTTGTAGTTGTTAGTGTGTGTGTGTGTTTGTAAATAAATAAATAAATTATTAACATTACTTCCGCGACGGATTTGAACTTCCGGACCGGCGCTCCTTAGCCACTGCACTGCTGAGTCGTCCTTCTTTTCCCTCTTCTTCTCAGTCCTTCGTTGCCTAGAATTGTGATCGTGATTCCCGGAGCTAAGTCTACAATATATTTTATGTTGTCCCATCTATCTTTATCTGCCGACTGCCAAAAAGGAGACGGTACTCAATTCGACTGTATGTTTTTTTATATGTGTGTTAACTCATAACTTTGTACTGGGTGAACCGATTTCGATGATTCTTTTTTTTATATAAAAGCTGATAGTTCTCGTGTGGTCCCATATGAATTTGATCAAGGTCATAGCAACGAAATGGCTTACAATTCTTAATATAATATGCTTAATATTCCCTTGGGAGAGAGGTAAAGCCCTAGTGTGGGATGCTACTTGCGTAGACACTCTGACGGCCTTTCATCTCAGGGGTACCTCGTTTAGAGCCGGGGCGGCATCAGAGCCAGCTGAAATGAGCAAGTGGCGCAAATATGAGTCCCTGAGAGACGACTACATATTTGTGCCATTTGCGGAACTCCATCCGCGGCTGGTTGTTGCTGTTGGTGATAAGAGGGCTGGTTTTTTTCTCGCTCAAAGGCTAAGTATAGCCATTCAGCGGGAAAATGCAGCCAGTTCTTGGCACGATACCGCGGGAAGGAGGACTGTATGATAATTATGTTACTAGTTTTAGTTTTTTTTTTAATTATAGATTCTTAATATCAAAGGGATAAACGAGTTGAGTCCAAGTTGAGAAATTGGCACCAACCCAGACCGATTAATAATCAGAACTACCCTGATGTTGAGTCAACACGGTATATGTCGTTCTGGTTGAAGCGATTTGTTATCTAGAATCTTCTAGATTACTGAGTACAAATAATGTTTGGAAAATCTTCATCTGGGTCGCTTACCGTCATAATCCCCAAGATGTCTTTGAAGCCGCCAAATGTATCGCTACAGGTGTGTATCGTCTTAACGGAGACTAGACATTTGCGTAGGACAGGTCGCTAATGCGAATTGGCAATCCAACTGTGCAAACCAAAGCGTCGATTTCTCGGGCCAAAATGGCGGCGTCTTAATGCCTACTCGGCAAAGTACCGCTTCCTTGTCACTAGTGCTGCTTTTCGATGCATCTGCGCTAGCATCTTGCCACATTTTGATGTACTTTGTACGCTATGTTCTTCTCGGGGTCACCACTGTGGCGGTAGGAAGGAAAAGGGCAGATCTCCCGCCAGGCAAGGTGTTCTGCCCGGGGAGTGGCCAACGCTCCGACTGGTAGTTCGGAGCTATTCTATCTATGCTGCTTTAACTTCGGAACTTTGTTAGTGCGATTTAGACTTCGATGTGTTTCGCTTGTGGCGCGACGACAGCGCCACCACATCACCCCCCTGCTCAGACCGGAGGTCGATAGTGCAGTCTAGATGTCGACGAATTTGCAAGTGCCAGGGAATTGCCTTGTAAGTCTGCGGTGAGTCGAGAAGAAGGCAATTATAGTGCCAAGTGTATGCGCAAGCACAGGTGCACTCTATTCCCTTATTCTAATAGTACGATGGGATCGGAGAAAAACCAGGCGCAGGATTAACGGATTTACGTGCCTGAAACACCGCTAACGAACTGAAAAACATAACATTTTTTTGGACCCTGGATTCGAACCTCGGTACCACATTGTGAACAGTCGCGCTTATAACCACTAGATCAACAAGGCAGAGCAGAGAATCTGGGATTTATTTATTTATTTATTTAATATATTTTTTTATAGAATAAGATGATAATGGTAAGTGGATTCTGTGGCCCATAGACCCTGAGGTCTTAGATGGAATGCCTCGTTTTCAGTAAAAAAGGGGTCTCCGGTTCTCTGTACTCACCACACGAAATACAGCAGCATTTAGCCGCTATTTTACGCTGGTATTGTGAGAGCGTGGTCATACCCCGGTCGAGCCGACCCATTCGTGCTACAACCGAAATATAGCTGCAGCGTGGCACTAACACGTTTAAAAAAAATTAATATTCTTTGTTCCACAACATACAATACCTACATAAAGCAATTATTTATACAAAACGTCGTTGACGCCGCAAAGGGACGAACGGCGAACCTCTATTTTTCAAAAAATTACGGGAGAGCGAGAAAATATTTATTATTCCCCGATTACTAGCTTTTCTTCATCAGAAAATTAAATATATTAGACTTAATGGAAAACGACAAATAAATTTAATTTTCTGAAGAAAAAAAGCTAGTAATCGAGGAATAATAAATGTTTTTTTACTCTCCTGCAAATTTCGAAAAATTAAGGTTCGCCGCTTTGCGGCGTTAGAGACGAAAAGAAGTATTCAATGGGATATATTGTATTCATAACCTAATTCCTAAAAATTGCAGGCCGCGGCGCGTCCCCTGAGTACGGCAGCATGACGCCGCCTTAGCGCCAGCCTCTCCCGTCGGCAGCAGGCGTGAATCCCGCAAGCATACCGACAGACGAACTAGATAGCCCATATTGTTTCTACGCACTGGACCAGTATCATGGCCAATCCACGTCTCACAATGCTATGAACTCGTGTGATTGTGATATGGGTGAGGCCTGTTCTTCGCAAAGCTCACCCCAGTGGATGTAAACCGGAAGTCTCCAGCTACGTTTCGTCAGGTGTGACATGGGCATAGTTGTAACTATTTCTAAGGTGAAATTACGAGGCACAGACACCTTGTTGCGAGATATTTTCGTTTACTAATCTAGAATAATCATTACCTACTTGTTTATTTGTGTGACACGTGTTTAACAAAACAATTAAATCCGATAAACCAAAAAATATTATAAGTACAAAACCAAACTAAACCACGCAATCATCAAATGTGATTCTGAATCTGTTATTAATACAGTAATTAATGTGTTCGAAATGATGTATTTAAACTTCCTAAAGATGTGTACACATATAATAGTGGAGTTTTGGCGCCAAAAATGAAAGTGCGTTGGTACAGTACTTATGCAGAGACATGGAAAGTATATAAAGATAGGTATTTTAATAGGTAAATCACTTATGAAGGCGGCAGCAAAAGTACTGAGCCCAGTTTGTGCTAGTTTCCCTAAAAGTACAAATGATTAGTACTTACGCCAGCTTTCAACTGTAGTCGATCGCTTGCAAGTAGCTGCGTAAGGTTAGAGATCGTCTAATTCAAAGCTGCACGCGCCTCGTATTCACCAAGATAAAAAATATATCTTTAAAATTAATTATCATGAATTCTCCATTATTAAAAAAAAATTGTATACAATTAATGGTGATTGCAGTAATTCACGGAGCTATGTTTGTACATAAATTAATATAGCATCTATTTTATTTAAAGTTTCTAGAGCATTATATTAATACACGAAACAATGTATCAGTGGTTTGCTCTTTAATTTTTTACACATTTTTAACTTTATTTTTTATTTTTCTACTTTTATGAATATGGTTTTATTTATTTGTTTTTAATGTTATTAATATAAAATATAGCTAATAGTACAGAAAGAAACAATAACTTTTACATTTTCCGAACAAATTAACTTCCCCGCTATGAAGTATGTCAAATATTATACCTCACTTTCTAGTGGCGCCGCCCTGGTGGCAAAAAAGTCGTGAATTCCCTCATTATATTTCGGGTTATATATTGTCTGTGCCTCGTACTTTAAACTCTTCTGGAAACAAACCAAAGCTTCAGCCAGTAAAATCTCCCCTTAATTGAAATCCTGAATTTTGTGTACTTGCATTATGCTCGCTTGAGTACACCATTTTTTTTATTAATGTTTCAACTCATTCCTTTTTTCATTAATAGATATCAAAATTCCGCTGCTGAAAATAGCTTGTCATTTTATAGTTTAGATTTTTCCTTACTTGTCTCTCTAGGAAGACTCATTGTCAGCCGCAGTTTTTAATAATCAACCGACTTAAAAAAAGGAGGAAGTACTCAATTTACTGTATTTTGTATGTCTCAGAACTCTTTTCTAGGTAAACTGATTTTGATGATTCTTTTTTATTTGAAAGCTGCCGCTTCTCATGTTGCCCCATATAAATTTCATCAAGATCTGACCAGTAGTTTTTAAGTTAACCTTAATAATGCGTATTTAATTGACTTCCGACTATCTTGATGATGTTCTCATTTTATTTTATATATTGAAGTCGGTTGTACAATTTCTTTTTATTTTACCACTTTATTTCTGTTATCAGAAGTGGAAGCTTACATAAAGCTGTGTATTTACACGCCGCATTGTCCAATTATATGTAGAATACGATAAAGAGTAGTTTAAATATTTATCAAAAAAATTCTCATAAATACATAGCATGTTGTACAAATATTGGAGAGTAAAATATAAATGCAGTAGCTATAGTATAGTTTGCTACCGAGGAGCTTTTCGCTACGTTTTAGTTGCTACTTAACATAATCGTTAATCACTACTAAAACGTAGTGACTATATACTCTTTGGTTGCTACCGTTCTTTTGTTTCCATACAATAATAGACAAAGGTTATAGACCATAGAGCCATTTAATATTACAGATGAG